CATCCTGTGAGTGGTAGTGGACCCCATACCCATCCTGTGAGTGGTAGTGGACCCCATACCCATCCTGTGAGCGGTAGTGGACCCCATACCCATCCTGTGAGTGGTAGTGGACCCCATACCCATCCTGTGAGTGGTAGTGGACCCCATACCCATCCTGTGAGTGGTAGTGGACCCCATACCCATCCTGTGAGTGGTAGTGGACCCCATACCCATCCTGTGAGTGGTAGTGGACCCCATACCCATCCTGTGAGCGGTAGTGGACCCCATACCCATCCTGTGAGTGGTAGTGGACCCCATACCCATCCTGTGAGTGGTAGTGGACCCCATACCCATCCTGAACCAACTGCATATAATTGTAATTTGCTTATCATGCGCCATCCCCCCCCCCCCCCCACACCCATCCAGTGGGCGGTGGGGGAACGGTTACAACCACTTGTAGTTAACAACGTAGTTAACAACCACCTGCAGTTAACAAACAGCCGCGTTCTTGTGACTTATCGTGTTCATCGTCCTGGTTGTTCACCTTGCAAGACTGAACACCACCTGCCCCAGCACACCACCTAACCGTCCCACCAGGATATCAAGTACAGGTAGTGAGAGGTAGTGAGACAACATACAAGATGATGCAATTCATTGCTCAGAAATGTGCAAATGCAACTGAGCTGGAGATCCCACTCAAGAAAGAGGTGGAAGATAAAAGCAATGCAGGTGCATGGTCCCTGCTTCTCTGCATTGTGGGGAAGCAAAGGACAGGACCAACGAGAAGGAAAAATGTATCGAGAAATGGAAAAAAAGAGGACAATAGAGGCACTAAAGAGTGAATACACAAGAGTCAGAAGGGAAGCTGAGAAGCAATTTGAAAACGACATTGCTGTAAAAGCAATAATAGCCATATAAGAAGAATAAGCCAACAGTAAGAGACCGTGTGATCAGGTTGAAGAGACATGCGAAAACAACAAGGAAGTGTGTGTGAGGAACTCTACAAAATATTTCAGAAGGTCTTTACAACGGAACGAACGTGGAGACCAGGTGTGAGGGGGTGTTTTTTCACAGCTGACTGTCAGTGTGTGGATACTCCAGACTGTGGAGACTCCAGACTGTACTCACCTAGTTGTGCTTGCGGGGGGGTTGAGCTTTGGCTCTTTGGTCCCACCTCTCAACTGTCAATCAACTGGTGTACAGATTCCTGAGCCTACTGGGCTCTATCATATCTACATTTGAAACTGTGTATGGAGTCAGCCTCCACCACATCACTGCCTAGTGTATTTCATTTATTAATTACTCTGACACTGATTTTTTTTTCTAACGTCTCTGTGGCTCATCTGGGTACAAAATTTCCACCTGTGTCCCCTTGTTCGTGTCCCACCCGTGCTGAAGAGTTTGTCTTTGTCCACTGAGGGAGCCGGTCGGCCGAGCAGACAGCACGCTGGACTTGTGATCCTGTGGTCCCGGATTAGATCCCGGGCGCCGGCGAGAAATAATGGGCAGAGTTTCTTTCACCCTATCCCCCTGCTACCTAGCAGTAAATAGGTACCTGGGTGTTAGTCAGCTGTCACGGGCTGCTTCCTGGGGGTGGAGGCCTGGTTGAGGACCGGGCCGCGGGGACCACTAAAGCCCCGAAATCATCTCAAGATAACCTCAAGATAACCCTGTCAATTCCCCTGAGAATTTTGTAGGTGGTTATCATGTCTCCCCTTACTCTTCTGTTTTCCAGGGACGTGAGGTTTAGCTCATTTAGCCTGTCCTCGTAGCTCATTCCTCTCAGTTCCGGGACGAGCCTGGTGGCATACCGCTGAATCTTCTCTAATTTTGTCTTGTGTTTAACTAGGTATGGACTCCAGGCTGGAGCTGCATATTCCAGGATTGGTCTGACATAAGTGGTATACACGTTCCTGAACGATTACTTACACAAGTTTCTAAAGGCAGTTCTTATGTTGGCCAGTCTAGCATATGCCGCTGATGATATCCTTTTGATGGGGATAGGTTCGGTGTGATATCAACCCCCCAGATATTTCTCTCTATTTGACTCTTGTAGGATTTCACCTCCCAGATGGTACCTTGTGTTCAGCCTCCTGCTCCCTTCGCCTAATTTCATTACCTTACACTTTCCTGAGTGGGAATTTAGGAGCCATTTTCTAGACCATTCCACCAGTTTGTCCAGGTAATCCTGTAGTCTCTATTTTCATGTCTTGATTCTTCTCATAATTTTTGCATCATCAGCAAACATTGAGAGGAACGAGTCTATACCCTCCGGAAGATCGTTTACATATATTAGAAACAGGATGGGTCCAAGTACTGAGCCCTGTGGGACTCCGCTGGTGACATCTCGCCACTTTGATGTCTCCCCCCTCACCGTTACTCGATGTTTCCTGTTGCTTAAGTACTCTCTTATCCACTGGAGCACCTTCCCTTTTACTCCTGCCTGTTGCTCCAACTTTTGTAACAGCCTTTTATGGGGTACTGTGTCAACGGCTTTCTGGCAGTCCAGGAAAATGCAGTCGGCACTGTGGATACTCCTGACTGTGGATACTCCCCTAGTGTATCCCTGAGTTACGCTGAGCTGAATGACTGCACAATAGCTGTTGTAGGACGAAGAACCGCGAGTTAGGGTTACAAGAGTAACCATTTTCCACAGGCAACCATTTTCTCTGATACTTACTGTACAGAACTGACCTGAGACAAGAAGGGATTGCAGCTGTCTTAGACAGTGACATCAGAGAGGTCGCCGATCAGAGCTAACCATGTAACCACCAATCAGAGCGAAGTTGGCTGGAAATGCTTCGCCTGGATTGGTTAATTCATATATCCTTTGTGTAGACTCTGTAGACTCTAGCATGGAGGGACATTCTAGTCTTTGTGGCCCGGTTTAACTCCTGGTGTGTTCCCTAGACAGTCTGCGCACGCTATGCAGGAAACTATAAACAAAATTAAAACACAAAAACTCCAAATTCCACAAAAAAAAAGGACGGAGTTTGAGCGGGAAACCAGAAACCAGCCGACTGGAAGAGTGACAGACATCCTGGGAATAAAATATATATTAATAGGCGTTGCTAGTTGGCGCCAAAGTGGCTCGATAAGGTCAGGCCAGACCTGTCAGCTCTAAAGGTCAAAGGTAAAGGTTGATAAGCTACTAAATCGTTCCCAGAGAGTGTGTGTGTGGGGGGGGGGGTGAAGGTAGTGTTTGGTTTACTTTTTGTAGCGTCCCCCCTAATGTGGGTACGCATAGCTGTGGCCTCCTCCTCCTCCCCCAACCAAACCACTATTGTTTTAGATTTAGCTACTCAGAACGAAAGTGTCCATGTAGCACGGGCTATGGTGAGCCCGTAATATCCCCAAACCACTAGTAGTTCTAGTTGCGGTGACAGAGGGTGAGGGGAGGACCACTATACAACAACAACTAGGAGACAACAACTAACTTGAGGCGGACTTTAAGTACCTATAATGACTTGCTACTTGAAGCTACCTTAGCTAACTGGTCAAGTAAGTTGTTTTTGTCCCGCGGTTACTACCACTTCATCTCTCACCTTATTGAATATTTACGTGAAGTATATTATGGTGAAAGATACTATATATATATACCTGCCCGGTGGAAGCAGAAACAAATGGGCAGAGTTTCTTTCACCCTGATTGCTCTGTTCACCTAGCAGTAAATAGGTACCTGGGAGTTACACAGCTGCTACGGGCTGCTTCCTGGTCGAGGACCGGGCCGCGGGGACGCTAAGCCACGAAATCATCTCAAGATAACCTCAAGATGAGCTACAAACTTCATCCATCTAGCCATCCAATCATCTGTCTATCCATCCGTCCCATCTCAGATCTTAAATTTAATTTCCCAAATATTAACAAATTATTTGTAATCAGTGAACTGCTATGCAGTGTACCTCTGAGAGAACCAGTGGACCACTGTACCGGTGTACCTCTGAGAGAACCAGTGGACCACTGTACCGGTGTACCCTAGGGGAGAAATAGTGGTCCACTGTACCACAGAGAGTACCTGTGTACCCTGGAGAGAACCAGTGGACCACTGTACCACAGAGAGTACCGGTGTACCCCGGAGAGAACCAGTGGACCACTGTACCACAGAGAGTACCGGTGTACCCCGGAGAGAACCAGTGGACCACTGTACCACAGAGAGTACCGGTGTACCCCTGGAGAGAACCAGTGGACCACTGTACCACTGAGAGTACCGGTGTACCCCTGGAGAGAACCAGTGGCCCATTGTACCACAGAGAGTACGGGTGTACCTCGGAGAGAACCACTGGTTCACTCACTAGTGGCCAACCTGTTGAACAACTTACGCTCTCGCCTGGTCAACGACCCTCCAGTGATCTATTAAACAAATATATATCACCTAAATGGGATATTGTTAACGAAGACATAAACATGAAAACTGTCTTGTATTTTGTAAAAAATTCTACCACATTCTTGGCCATTTAATTATACAATATCAAGGTTCGTGGATCTCAGAGGCACCTAACTGGAACCCAACTGAGACTTTTAACATCTGGAACACCACTGATTATTTGGAGGCTGAAGTCTGCTTAATCCTCCTTAATTCTCGTCATATACCTGTATATATTGCATGCACCATCGTGCCGCACGCGAGCAGGGTTGCAAAGATCCCAGAGGCCAGATTCACAAGGCAATTACGCAAGTACTTACGAACGTGTACATCTTTCCTCAATCTTTGACGGCTTTGGTTACATATATTAAACAGTTTACAAGCATGAAAACTTCCTAATAAACTGTTGTTATTGATATAAACAGCCTTCGGAGGTGCTTCGGAGCTCATTAACTGTTTAATAACTGTACTCAAAGCCGCCAAAGATTGAGAAAAGATGTAGAGGCCTCGCAAGTGCTTGCGTAACTGCTTTGTGAATCTGACGCCTGTTAGACAACATACAGTGTACCGAGTTATTGAGCACTCAACCACAGCAGGTGATATTGAAGTGGCTGTGAACTGCAAGGCAGCATGCATATATTCTCCTGTGGAGACTCACCTTGCTTTCCCGGCTTGAGAAGGGAGAAGTCCTTATTGATGGAGACGAAGGACACCTGTGATGGGTAGAGCTCCGGGGGAAGGTACGTTACCGAACTGCCTCCCGACATAGTTCTTCTGCTACCTTGATAGGCGGATACTGCACAACACTTCGGGTACACCAATCTCGAGTATTACCCAAGATCTCCCCTACAGGTACTCCAGGAAACGCAGAAGACGGACACTATACGCTGCAGGTGCTCCAGGCGAGGCAGCAGATGCGTAGTACACCTAAGAAAAGCTATAGTACCAGAGCCGCGTCGGACGCACTTGGGATCACAACAAACGCGTTCTCCGGAAAGTGATGCCTCTCAGATCGTCTCGTCTGACGGTAAGTCGACGGGTGCCGGAATACATAATCACCCCTGGGGATGGGGTAGCGAGCATACTCCTCCAGAACTGTGGTATCGGCGCAGTAATGGCAGCGTGTGTGTGCGAGGGGACACCACCAGACATATCAGCCTCCACCCACGTCGGGCGAGACACTGCTGGCGCGCGTCTCCAAGCTCCCGCTCCGAAATATGTCAGTGACTCGTTTTCTTTGAAGGTCGGAGAGGAGGACCTTGCCTCATACATACCTTTACGTTGCCGGGTTCCCGCCCTGGCAACATGAAGCTTACTGGTTACTACCGCTGCCTGGGAGGGAAGGGGAGAGATGGAGTGAGGGAATTGCTTCCTCCTTCCTTGCTTTCCAGGTGGCGCCTTCATCTTTCCTTAAAAAATTACAAATGAAAGCAAGTCTTTTACCTGTATATATTTGACTAAGATATATATAACTGAAAACTTCACACCCCAGAAGTGACTCGAACCCATACTGCCAGGAGCACTATGCAACTGGTGTACAGGAGACCTTAACCGCTCGACCATCATGACCGGACAAAAGATGATGGCAGTCGAGGTTATTTCCCCATCATCCCGCCGGCGCTCTGATGGTAATCTTGGGCATGGTATTTTATAAATTTAATATATATATATATATATATATATATATAATATGGGTGATTTGCAGTTTATATGACGAGGATTAAGGGGACTTGAGCCTCCAGATACTCAGTGGTGCTCCAGGAGAGATTAAGTCTCAGTTGGGTACCAGTTATGTGCCTCTGAGATCCACGAATCTTGGTATGTAGATAAGTTGTCACGTGTAATGGATTTTATCAAATCTATCAGATACACAGGACTTTACAACACTATGTTTGTCATAACTTACAGCACTACTAGGCCTAGTACGCAAGACCTGTTTGGCCAAAGAGCCAAATAGCATATTAACCCTCCCCCAAAGAGCAACCCCGTTAGTTGACTAACTCCCGGGTACACATTTATTACTAGGTGAACAAAGGCATTAGGTGAAAGTAAACGTGCCCAACCATTTCTGTCCTGCGTGGGATTCTAACCCGAGATTCGCGGTTGTCAATCGAGAAAACGAACCCAGATGTAGTAATGTTTAGAATGGTCTGGTTGACCAAATACACAATTTTGTTCATTAAACTGCCCATGTTCATAAATCCGTCCATAAATTGATAGTTTTTTTGACTTGGCTAAATTGTGAAGGATATTCTGCGCTACACACACACACTATATATATATATATATATATATATATATATATATATATATATATATATATATATATATATATATCGTACCTAATAGCCAGAACACACTTCTCAGCCTACTATGCAAGGCCCGATTTGCCTAGTAAGCCAAGTTTTCATGAATTAATTGTTTTTCGTCTACCTAACCTACCTAACCTAACCTAACCTAACTTTTTCGGCTACCTAACCTAACCTTACCTATAAAGATAGGTTAGGTTAGGTTAGGTAGGGTTGGTTAGGTTCGGTCATATATCTACGTTAATTTTAACTCCAATAAAAAAAATTGACCTCATACATAATGAAATGGGCAGCTTTATCATTTCATAAGAAAAAAATTAGAGAAAATATATTAATTCAGGAAAACTTGGCTTATTAGGCAAATCGGGCTTTGCATAGTAGGCTGAAAAGTGCGTTCTGGCTACTAGGTACGACATATATATATATATATATATATATATATATATATATATATATATATATATATATATATATATATATATATAAAAGCCTATACTTGCATAAACCACAAGTGAAGATTAACAATCTTTGGACAACACCCACCAGTGGGACTCGAACCCAGAAAGCACAACTACCTTCCAGTAGCTGCCATAACTAGTATGCTTTAACCCACTACACCATCAGACCCTACAAAAGAAGTAGAGACTTCGAGATATATATACATCTCAAATATCTCCACTTCCCGAGGGCACCAGATGAGTGTGAGGTTAGTCTGCATTTTTCGTCAAGCCACTGTCAATGTGAGAGAACTCGTGTCCAGCTTATAAGCCTATACTTGCATAAACCACAAGTGAAGATTAACAATCTTTGGACAACACCCACCAGTGGGACTCGAACCCAGAAAGCACAACTACCTTCCAGTAGCTGCCATAACTAGTATGCTTTAACCCACTACACCATCAGACCCTACAAAAGAAGTAGAGACTTCAAGATATATATACATCTCAAATATCTCCACTTCCCGAGGGCACCAGATGAGTGTGAGGTTAGTCTGCATTTTTCGTCAAGCCACTGTCAATGTGAGAGAACTCGTGTCCAGCTTAGTATATGCAATATATTATGCAAGTATAGGCTTATAAGCTGGACACGAGTTCTCTCACATTGACAGTGGCTTGACAAAAAATGCAGACAAACCTCACACTCATCTGGTGCCCTCGGGAAGTGGAGATATTTGAGATGTATATATATCTCGAAGTCTCTACTTCTTTTGTAGGGTCTGATGGTGTAGTGGGTTAAAGCATACTAGTTATGGCAGCTACTGGAAGGTAGTTGTGCTTTCTGGGTTCGAGTCCCACTGGTGGGTGTTGTCCAAAGATTATATATATATATATATATATATATATATATATATATATATATATATATATATATATATATATATATATATATATATATATATATATATATATATAAGCCGCCGTTTCACTTTTAATTCAATTTCTATCTTTATTATGTTATTATGCACCCCATACCCATCCCGTGGGTGGTGGTGGGAAGGGTTACAGAGGCACATAATGGGTTCAGGAACTGAACCCTCTACTTCCTTTAGCTCAGCAAGTGACAATCTTTTGACGCTATGTTACACAATTATTAATGTTATATATACATGTACATGCTGCAACCCGTCCTGCAAATTGACAGTACGATTTAATACTAAGTGTAATAAGTACACTTTCTTACTGTCATAAACAGTGCATAAATGCACTTACGGGGCTGTTACATTTATCCAACCCCCTCCCCAAAATTTAATTCTCCTCGTTTTCTGTTAAGACACTCAGAATTTTAGGATGAAGATTTCAATTTCGACTTGCGTTACACAAGTTTTAAATATCAGGAATTTTTTTTCAGGTTTATTAAACAATATAGATTTTATACAAAATTTTAAAATATCCTGAATTACTTTACAATTTATTGATATATTTTAATTTTGTTTTACTAGTTTTATAAAATTGTAATATCAATATAGCTATAGGTTAAGTACTAAGTGTAATTAAGAGCTGACATATATATAGAATCATTTACACAAATACATTCACACATCGATAATCTTTTATATCGCGTGATTCAACAAGAGGCTCACAACAGTCACTATACAAGGCACTTTACATCTATGGTGAGTCACACAGTTACTAGTCTTGCTCCACACCCACCCAACTGGGCGGCAGCTTTACAGTCATGTGCTCCACACCCACCCAACTGGGCGGCAGCTTTACAGTCATGTGCTCCACACCCACCCAACTAGGCGGCAGCTTTACAATCATGTGCTCCACACCCACCCAACTAGGCGGCAGCTTTACAATCATGTGCTCCACACCCACGCAACTGGGCGGCAGCTTTACAGTCATGAGCTCCACACCCACCCAACTGGGCGGCAGCTTTACAGTCATGTGCTCCACACCCACCCAACTGGGCGGCAGCTTTACAGTCATGTGCTCCACACCCACCCAACTGGGCGGCAGCTTTACAGTCATGTGCTCCACACCCACGCAACTGGGCGGCAGCTTTACAGTCATGTGCTCCACACCCACCCAACTGGACGGCAGCTTTACAGTCATGTGCTCCACACCCACCCAACTGGGCGGCAGCTTTACAGTCATGTGCTCCACACCCACGCAACTGGGCGGCAGCTTTACAGTCATGAGCTCCACACCCACCCAACTGGGCGGCAGCTTTACAGTCATGTGCTCCACACCCACGCAACTGGGCGGCAGCTTTACAGTCATGTGCTCCACACCCACCCAACTGGGCGGCAGCTTTACAGTCATGTGCTCCACACCCACCCAACTGGGCGGCAGCTTTACAGTCATGTGCTCCACACCTACGCAACTGGGCGGCAGCTTTACAGTCATGTGCTCCACACCCACCCAACTGGACGGCAGCTTTACAGTCATGTGCTCCACACCCACCCAACTGGGCGGCAGCTTTACAGTCATGTGCTCCACACCCACCCAACTAGGCGGCAGCTTTACAATCATGTGCTCCACACCCACCCAACTGGGCGGCAGCTTTACAATCATGTGCTCCACACCCACCCAACTGGGCGGCAGCTTTACAGTCATGTGCTCCACACCCACCCAACTGGGCGGCAGCTTTACAGTCATGTGCTCCACACCCACCCAACTGGGCGGCAGCTTTACAGTCATGTGCTCCACACCCACCCAACTGGGCGGCAGCTTTACAGTCATGTGCTCCACACCCACCCAACTGGGCGGCAGCTTTACAGTCATGTGCTCCACACCCACCCAACTGGACGGCAGCTTTACAGTCATGTGCTCCACACCCACCCAACTGGGCGGCAGCTTTACAGTCATGTGCTCCACACCCACCCAACTGGGCGGCAGCTTTACAGTCATGTGCTCCACACCCACCCAACTGGGCGGCAGCTTTACAGTCATGTGCTCCACACCCACGCAACTGGGCGGCAGCTTTACAGTCATGTGCTCCACACCCACCCAACTGGGCGGCAGCTTTACAGTCATGTGCTCCACACCCACCCAACTGGGCGGCAGCTTTACAGTCATGTGCTCCACACCTACGCAACTGGGCGGCAGCTTTACAGTCATGTGCTCCACACCCACCCAACTGGACGGCAGCTTTACAGTCATGTGCTCCACACCCACCCAACTGGGCGGCAGCTTTACAGTCATGTGCTCCACACCCACCCAACTGGGCGGCAGCTTTACAATCATGTGCTCCACACCCACCCAACTGGGCGGCAGCTTTACAATCATGTGCTCCACACCCACCCAACTGGGCGGCAGCTTTACAGTCATGTGCTCCACACCCACCCAACTGGGCGGCAGCTTTACAGTCATGTGCTCCACACCCACCCAACTGGGCGGCAGCTTTACAGTCATGTGCTCCACACCCACCCAACTGGGCGGC